CTATAATGCAATAATGAAATAATGAAAGGCATGTGCCCAACTCTCCTGCTTTCTCAAAGTAATCCCAATTTTCCTCCTTAAAATCCCACATCCCTCAGTTCAAGCTTCCTTATTTGCTCAGTTCTTGCCCTGTTTGTCTCTTCTTAATGATTCAGAATGAGCAATATGTGAAGGCATAGGGCATATATAGAAAGAGACATTAAACCTCTTATCTCTGACGTGTTGTCTGTAATTGCAGCGTAAAAATACTGCACAATCTTTCCATCTTCATTATTCTCAGGGAGGAGTCAGTCTTGGATTTGTTCCTTTGGAGAGGAAGCACGTGGGAAACATTCGGAGACATGAGGTGTTACATACGCCGGTAATAAGTGATGCTAATGTCACATTTGTGTTCCTCTGCATGCTTAGTGGTCGCTTGTTGTGATGAACCCAAAGTGAATGAGTCAACAGACAAAATCTAAGGCTGCCCTCAGCTCTACAAATAGTTTTCTGTCAGTAATTTATTTATTTTTTTACATTTGGTGGGATGGTTTTAGAAGTTTCTGTTCACCCCAAATGGTGAAAGTTGGCAAAAGTGAAGCAAAGGTTGAATCTTACGTGATGAGCGAAGTGAGAACATATCATCAAAAGTACCCTGAGAAACTGAAGGAAGAAGTCAGCGAATCTTCTGAGGACCAAGGCAACTTTCATGGTAAATAATGATGTAGAGCAGGAGTGCTCCAACCACCACACACTGCTAAATGCCATAAATAAGGAGATCTGCACTGTAAGAACTGTTAATTCTTTCCTATAATTAAGTCAATAGTTGCAGAGACGTTTCAGCATTAACAGTAAATCAAAGTGTCTGTTACATAACTGGGGAAAAAAGCGTGCAGGTGTTATAGGTCTTTACCACAGAGCTGCAATGAAACGTTTGTACTTTAATAAACTTAAATGAATTTGTTTAGCTTCGTGTCATTTAAATAATTTGACTGACATATGAATTTCTGAGTGTTTATAAAAATAAATAAATGCAAATTTATATTGCCTAATTTAAAAAAAAAAAACGCCCAACTTGGCAACCTTATGACACAAGGCTTAGCTAATGGCTAACATTAGCCGACATGGCTTACAAACAGTGCAGGATGGAGAAAAGCCACAGAAGCATTTCTTTAGTTTAACTCCTGATAATTATGGGAGATCAGACATTATAAGATAAGATAAGATAGAACTTTATTAATCCCTCGGGTGGGTTCCTCTGGGAAATTTGACTTCCAAAAAAAGCACAGCAACGACCGAAGTTACAGTTACAGAATTGCTATGTATACACACACACACACACACACACATATAAATACAGAGACAAATATAAATAAAATATACAAAGGGGATAAATAGAATAAATAGGAATAAAAAATAAAAATACAAGTGAATTGCACATTTCAAGTATTGAGTCTATTGCACTGTTGACTATTTACAAAAAGTATTGCACAAGGTATTGTACAGTGAGGTGAAGAGGTATTATAGAAATACAACAACCTGCAAGAAGGTTACCCAGCAACCTGAATAATACTGGATTAGAGCAAAGCTAACCTGTTGCCTGGTAGGTCATTTATTATTCCGTCACTTGTGTTTTCTTAAAAACTCTTTTGCCATTGCATTTCCAAGGCAGGCATACAAGATGAACATCCGTGGCCTCAGTGGTGAAATGCTGAGGCATCTCAGTTTATTGCATGCTCTGTTTTGAGCTGTTTGCCTACCTGCCAAGGTGCTACCCTTGTTGTGTTTGTGTGAAAAGTGTAACTGGACACTGGAGGTGGCAAGCAAATATTGTCGATTGAGGTGTTTCCACCGCACAGACAGACAAATAAACTAAAGTCTGGATTATGGCAGCTATCTAAACTACTCTCTCTCTCTTGCCTATTAGATTTCAATTTTCTTATCACTGTTACCTTTAAATTGAGCTGTGACTAATGGTTTCTGCTTTTTATTACTGTGGTAAAACTAAAACTCCTGTTCAGGTCACAAACACCAGTTTGATGTATCATTTCAAGCCTGGCTCACACAGTTTAAAAGAAGGATGTAGCCACTGTGACATCACCCAGCAGTTAATAAAGTCCCCTGTGAATGCTTGAGCTGAGCATTATCGCTGTGACCATGCTGGTGTTTTTAAGCTGGACCTGATGAGCAAGGAGCGTGTTTACGGAGGTCACCGAGCACAGGAGCTGAGGAGTTACTCCCTGCTGGTCATTAAAAGATGTAGGTTTAAGGAGCATTTTGTCTACAGCTTCATTTTTAAGATCCAGAAGCTATATTCGTCTTTTATACTTGTTATGGTTTAGACCAGGGGTGGGCAACTCCAGGCCTCGAGGGCCAGTGTCCCTGCAGGTTTTAGATGTGTCCTTGAACCAACACAGCTGATTTAAATGGCTAAATTAGCTCATCAACATGTCTTGAAGTTCTCCAGAG